TGGTTTGTTTAATTGTTTACTTATCATGAAATGTAAAGAGAAAGAGGGATTCGAATAAAGCTCTAAGTCTAACACAATTTAGTTGAAATATTGTGAAGAAAGCTCCGTTCTCTTTTACAATTAAATGGATTTAGAGAATAGACGTATCCGTGAATTTGTAACGCAACTACATTTCAATATTCATTGTTTATATTATATCATTTTATATACTTTCTTCATTCAAAATATTGGGATGTTCGACAGTAAAGTGTTCATTTAGTCACAAGTCGACTTGTGTGTCTAGCAAGAGTTATAAATGAAACTGATCAGCTTGATCTATAACGAATTATAATGTTAGTACTCTTACATAATAAGGTAAATATTAAGCAAACCTAAAGATTCATAACTCTATTTCCTGATATCATTCTTTATCAATTTGTTGTTTACTAACTAAGTGCTTGTATCCATATATTCCCCTACTTGTAAAATATTTCATGATCCAAAAGTTTTCAAACTTTTGTGAATCACTTCCCTTAAATTAATTACGATTATAAAATTGGACTATATAATTATCTCATCTACTTACTGTGTTGAACTCTATTTTGGCTATTGTGATGATAAGCGTAAGAGTGATCCATTATGGATTGATAGTTATTAGATTTTACTCATGAATGTTATCACACTATTATCGTGTTACTGGTTAGCAGGAGATTATCAGAACTAGATAGACAATCTAAACAAATTATTAGACGTTCGGACTAAATGATAAAACTACTCAAATGCTTCACTAAAACTCAAGTATCTATTATCAGTTGGTCATCCTATATTTACACTGAAATACGAATACCTTATCTGCGACTGAAAATATCAACGCGTTACTCACTGAGCTTCCTCACAAACATGTACGGGATACGTTTTGTGTTTGAATACCATTGTGAACATCAATACAAATTCGGAATAAAATCGAGCTGATTGAAACAAAATACAAAATAAACTCCCACTGATAGCCAAAATCCAACTTTACTAGAAGTATACATTTATATATATAATTTCTTGTGGTATATTTTTGTGACTCAAATTTTATGACATTTAAGAGATAACTGAAATAAATATTCTTAAATGCAAATATGTCGGTGAAAAAATATCCTATTGGTTACAAAAGATAGAAGATTAAACTAATTGCATTATTTTAATAGTTGAATCTATGAGTCCATTAAAGCTAGACCACTATGGAAAAGCAGGAGGTACTGGATGGCCGACTCATCTTCATAGGTAACTCTTCAGCAGTGCGCAGCCGCGATCCCTTCCTCCGCAAGATTCAAACCCAGGACCCAACGGTCTTTCGCGTGAGTGCTTAACCTCTAAACCATTGAGTTGGCCGGCAACCAATGTTGTTAATGTCTAACTTCAACCAATCCACGAAGTTGGTTCGTAGGTTCGAATCTCACGAGGAGAGATTGTCGATGCACGCTGGTGAGGAGTCCTACACTGGAACAAAACATCCACTCAGTGCTTCCAACTTTTCCATGGTGGTCTAGCATCAATTGACTCATGACTTCAACTATTAAATTACTATATTATCCCAAAAAACCTCTCTGATTATTAAAATTATGTTGTTTGTTCCAAATAAACGTTTCAAAGAATGTTTATATTAACACTGATTGTCAAATCATAATCAATATCTTTGTTATACATTTCTGGTATAAATTTTATTCTACTGAAAAAATTATAATGAACAAAAGCTTTTATCTACTTTTCAGATCATATCTTGCTTCATCAAGTCATTTACTTAATCAGCAACACACTTCAAGCTAGTTGAATATATATTTTTAGATATGTAATGAGTATAAAACATTGACCATTACATTCATAACATATAGACATATCCTAACATAAAATACAATGGTCAAATACTCAATAAAGTTATCCACTGATCATAATTTTAAGTTTCAAAACGCTTTATTTCATAACTAATGTTCTTTATATCTATTAAAAAAAAATAAAAGGTTCTGGCCGATGGAATGCTTGTGGATTTATGGGAATGTACATTGTTTGTCCGCAACTTGAACTACAGCCTACTATATGAGAGGATAAATCAACTTACTACTGAAGAGGAAATTAGGAAAAGACGTTGGATAAGAATAAGTTATACATTAAGAAAATCATCGAACTGAATCATGAGGCAAGTAATAACTTGGGATCCTGAAGGGAAACAGAAAAGCGAAGACACTATGTCGGGAATTGAAAGCAGATATGGAGAGGAAGAATAACGACTGGAAAGAAACGAAAGGATTGATCAGGACATGATTGGATGGAGAGTGTTGTTGAGCAGCGTATACTCCTCCGCGAGGGGTAACAGGCGAAAGTAGTTAAGTAAGTAAGTATGTAAGTATGAACCAATCTAATTACCAGAATTCCTCCCTGTTAATTTTGATGAAATTACATATGACGTAATTATGGTAAACTATACATATTCTTATTATCCCTTTAATGATATTCTGGGTTGTAGTGGTCTGTTCAAGTTGCTATGTAGGCTACAAAACCAAATGCAGTTTTCAATAAAATCAGTGAAGCATTTGTCATTCTACCTAAAACTCATCAATCGTATATAAGTACCCCTCAGTGTTGATGTCTACATTTAAAAATCAATCATCCTAGTTACAAAATACTAGATTATAAAACAACATGTACTAGTCGAAAGTCTCCGTAGGAGCACAAATAGAATTATTCGATGAGTTTGCAAATGAATATTTTTGTTTGCACACACACGCTTAGTTTATATAAATAATTGGCTTTTCACTTACATAGAACTACAAACTACTTTAAACACTTACTACAAGATAATATAAGTAAGCTAAAGCAATGTATTGGCTGATGTCACGTTTTTTTTTGGCATTCAGTGTTAATTTATTTCTGTATATGAGGTATAGTGAATATTCAATATCACATACAGTATGCTTTTATACTTGGTGATCGTAGACTATCGGAAGGCAACCTTACTTCTTAGTGTCATATTAGTTGACACTAGTCAACAATGTACACCTTAAATTTTGTGAGAATAAGTAACCACTGAATGTTGTACCTGATGTCTTAGTGAAAACAATTTAAATTTAAACCTAAATTGGTTAGTATCATTATGATAGATGCTATTAGTGAGATAAATATTTAGGCAGAAATTGGCGGAAATATTTATCCCGTTTTATCAATAATTCCTTATTAAAGCTGTGTTCATTCAATCTACCGATTTAAGTCTTTCTGCTTATTAGATCTAACTATCTAATATAATTATTAATAAATCCATTTCAAGAGTATTTTTATAATTGAATTCATGAATCAATTAAATCTATACCACCATGAAAAACCTGGAAGCATTGGGTAGCCGATTCCTCCTACTATGATACTCCTCAGCAATGCGCATCCACGATCCTCTCCACGAGATTCAAACCCACAAATGCTTACTCTTTAGACCACTAAGTCACCGTCCATCATTGTCTTAAGTGAGTTACTATCTCACAACAACGCCCTTCTATTTTTGGCATACACAGATAGAGTTTTGTATAAATATATATATATATATATATATATATATATATATATATATATATATATATATATATATATATATATATATATATTTCAGAATGTTGGTTTATGAAGATTAAGGACAAACTGAAGTACTCAGAATTTTTTTTGTCTGTTTTTCAGTAGAAATCTTCATGTTTCTGAAGCTTCAAGTAATTCTTTACCCAACTTACTTTTTTACTGCAGTTAAAAAAACCAAATAAGACTATGTAATAGCAAAACCATTCATGTCAAAAGTGACTTTAATGAAATAACCATACAATAGTTGAAAGAATAGATGACTTTTGAGCAACGCTAGACTGACCTTGAGAGTGTCCACCTCATAACTAGGACCAAATGAGGGTTATAAACCTGTCACGAAATAACATCAGCTATATTGCCAAAACTCTATTGATTCAAATGAATAAGTGAATTTCACGCTAAAATCCGAGACCTGTTATCTTATACGTGATTGGTTCATTCATAAGTTATAGTCTGATCGAAAGAACTAGTTACGTTCTAGTGCAGAAGCATAAACTGTTTGATTTATCTTACAAAGCATGACCGTTTCATTGTACACTTGTCTAGAATTCGAACTTTAATTAAGTTCCACTATTGTCTACCAGGTTTTCGATTCCAGTCATCTAATCAAAGTCTCCTTACATATTATAACTTTGGAAAACTAATTAATACTTTTGGTGGTGTTTTGTTCTCTGAGCTGGATGGGTTGGTCAAGAACAAAACTCTACCAAAATCATCCACCTGAGCTACAAATCTACTCCATCATCTCTAATTAATACTTCTCAGTCTATTGATGAAATAACATGAAAATGAGAAGACTGTTTGAAATATAAAGTTTAGTTTTGTGCACTTGGACAGATTGTTTTCATTTAAATAATAATGACAACAGTTATTTCATAAATTATCTCGTTTATAAAAAAAATAGGAAATAAGTGAAAACTATAATCACTATCCACAGTAATATGAGAACTTGTGAAGATTGTGGTTTTGTGACAGTTGAATTCATGAATTGTTATAAGCTAGACCGAAATTGAAAACCTGGAGGTCATAGACTACTGATTCATCCTAGTACAGGATTCCTCAGCATTTACGGGTGGGACTCAGACTGAGGACCTTCTGTCTTATTCACTGAGTCAGCATGCAACGATGTTAATGTCTAAAACCCCAATCGATCTATGATCTTGTATGATCTTTTATCAAGGTTTTCAATAATGTTCTAGCTTAAATCAACTCATATATGTATGAAATGGTTGTTTCTATAAGGTACACGTTGGTAATCAGTCATTTAAACTTAATAAAAGTTTACCAAAAACTATAGTTATGTGTTGATTAAAGTCTCTTTCATTAGAAAAGTTATTTTAACCCTAAACTAAATAATGTTTTATTATAAAGGATTAAATTATGTAAGACCAATAGATTATATATTTACACTTACTTACCTTTCGTTTAGCTCTAGTTAATTTTTGATCTCTTGCATTATCTCTTTCACCAGGTGTTTGTAAACGTATAACTTTAATACCTATAGCTGTATATGTTCCACAAATCATACCTAATGGTAAAAAATATTGTAATATCATTAATAATATTGTATAAATAACATCAATTTGTAATATAATTGTTTTATTATTAAATTGTATTGTAATTTCATTTTTAATTTGTTCTAGATTTGTAAAATTATTTATATTTATTGTTTGAATAGATGATGATGATGATGATGATGATAATAAACTCCAATCTTCTATACAAAATGTTTCATTATCACGTTTTATTGTTTTATTTATAATAGGTACTGGTAATGGTATAATTAATGCTAATATCCATACAATAATTAATAAATAAATTGCTTTACGTTGTGTCATTCTTGGTTTTAATGGAAAATATACTAAAATAAATCTATCCCATGATATAAGTACATGTGTTAATGCACTAACAAATACACTAACACCTTGTGCATATGGTACAATTTTACATAATGTTTCACCAAATGGCCACCATAAATAAATAATTTCTGTGATAACATTTATTGGTATACATAATACAGCCATAAGTATATCAGCTAAACTAAGATTAAATAAAAATAAACTTGTTATACTTGATGTACGCATTCCTCTTAAATAATTATTTGTTTTCCATTTATGTTTTGTTATTAAATTAGTTCGTTTTTCATTTGATAATAATGATATATTATTAGCTACAGTAATAGATCCAGCATAATTTCCACCACTTGTACCTTGTTCATATTGTTTATGCATTGATTTAAATATAACATAACGATGTGTATTTTGTACAATACATGTTTTACCACAACTACATTCATGTTGACTACTTGGACATTCATCAACCCATGGATCAATATTGTTATTATTAGTATTATGACGATGATGATGATGATGATGATGAGCTGATTTAGATAATGTAGATTTCTTTTTACATCCTAATGTATTTGTAAAACATTTAAATAGATTACAATAATGAAAACGTAATAATATACATACAATTGTATTACCAACTACAGCTAATATGATAACTGCTGCAAATAGAATCACTAAAAATGTTACTTCACTTTTACTAAATGGTAAATTATTTGATTCATCCATAATATGATTATGTATTGGTTCATCCATAACATAACAATAATGATTAATTCAATAATAAATAATGAATGATAATTAAAAGAATTTGCAATTTTTATTTTTATTTTTTTCTTTAATTTTTTTCTTTTTGCTTTTCTTTTTCTTTCTTTTTTCTTCGTAATTTTAATTGGATAATTTTAAATGAATGAATAAAATAAAGAAAAGAATTTATTCTTCTGGATACTTTGATTTGATTGGTTGATAGGATTCATGTAATTGCTTCTTATTTCAACCAATAAAATTGTTGGAATTTAGAAATTTTTTTTTCTTTTTTTTTCCCTATCAATCACTGGGTGGTGATCAATGTCATATGTGTCAAGTCTTTATTTAGTGCAGATCGAATGCTATCGACCATGTTGCAATGTGACCAGCAGTCTAGGTGAATCGATACTGTGAGCACTATATATTGAGAATAGATGGTGGTTGGAGGTAGTCGACAGGAAATCCTGGACCCAGGTTTTGTGCTACTTGGCACTCGTCAGCAAGGTGTACCTGTAGTCTTGAGGGAACTGGTGCTCCCTGACAGATTCGATCTCGTGTCACCCAGCTTCCCAGTCAGAGACGTCGCCACTGAGCTATCCGAGCCGCGAACGACCTCCTGTAAGACTGAGATGTAATCACAATTGATTGATTACTGGGTGGCGATCAATGTCATGCTTGTCCAGTCCTTATTAGTGCAGATCGAATGTTAATATCAATTACAATTGAATTATACAAATGAAAGTTAATTTAAAATTTAGTCATAAATAGATTTTCGAAGACAAAAACAGAACGCTTATGAAACAATCCATCTATGAACTAATTTATATTGCATATTCATAATGAATAAAAGATGGATAGTGGCTATTACTGGAATCCAGGTTGCGCGTTTCTTCCTATTTGGAATTCGTCAGCTGGATGTGCCTGCATCTCAGAGTTGATATTCAGTCCGAGATCAGTCCCAAATAGGATGAAACACTTAAAAAAACTTGTGACTTAAAGCTGTATCCAGGCAATCCGCACAGGATGCACATATGCCAACATGAGACTGATCAATTGCAGTCCTAAATAACAATGGGAACTACAAGTTAAACAATACTAAGTGAATTCATAATTAATATTGAAAATAATCATTATAAGCAAGGATGGATAGTGGTTATCAGTGGAATCTAGGATGCGTGATTTATCCCAACTGGGAGTCGTCAGTAAGATGTACCAGAATCTTCGAGTTGAGGTTCACTCTAATACTCAAATCTAGTAACGTTCGCTTCAAACACTATCGTGTTATCCAGTTAGCTACTGAGCCCTGATAGCCACTTGGCTTTGTCATGGGGTGAATTTTGAAGTCACTTCGTTTGTCTGAATATTTAGATTTATGTTTAGGAAAGCAATTGATCAATCTTCTATCGGCATGTGTGCATACTTCTTCGAAATTGCCTTAATTCGCAAGCATTATAAGCGAAGATGTATAGTGGCTAGCAGTTGAATCCAGAATGAGCGTTTCATCCTATATGGCACACATCAGCTGGATATAGCTCCATTCCAGAGTTGATGTTCACTCCGGAACTCCAACCTAGTACCGTTCACTTTAAACATCATGACGTTATCTACTGAGATACTGAGTTCTGTTAGCCACTTGCTTGTTCAATGGAGTGAAATCTAAATTCGCTTGAACTGACTTGAAATTTACTTGAATATTTCGATTGATCTTTAGGACTACAGTTGATTTCAATGGAAAACCAACCGATATGATAAAAAGAAGTAAGCAATAGTTACACTTTGAAGCGAACAGTACTGAGTTCGAGTCCTAGAGTGAACATCAACTGTGAGATGCAGGTACATTCAGCTTACGAGTCCAAAATAGGACGAAACGCGCGTCCTCAATTCCACAGCCAACTACTATCCATCTTTGTTTATATTGCTTGTGAATATCGAGGCAGTCCACACAGGACGCATATGTACCAACAAGAGGTTGATCAATTGCAATCCTAATCATCAATGGCAACATACAATTAAACAATAGCAAATGAATAATGGTGTTATGTATGTCATAAATTTGTGCATCAAATTAACCATCATTATCACTGAAGCTCAACGATAACAACTGTTCCTTTACAGAATTTTGGAATAGTTGATTTCCAAATTGTGATTTCATTTCTAAATTTCATATATTTTGATACCTTGATAAATTCAAATTAAGCAAGACGAATAAGATTTACAGAATAGTGTAATTCTATTGTATTTCAAGACTTTCTATTTGATTTATCGTTAGTTATATAATGATAAACGGAGCTTTTCACATCTTAATCAATGAAATCGACTTTGAAATTGCATAGAACAAGAACAAGAGACATGTAGAAGAAACAACAATTCTAATACAATATTCAGAAGTGATTTGTGTTTAAAATGAAGTCCCGTACTAGGACGAAACAGCCACTCAGTGCTTCCAGGTTTTCCATGGTAGTCTAGATTTATTCAACTCATGAATTCAATTATTAAAATGAAGTTATTTAAAGAAGGCTTAAATGTCATTGTTGTTAATGAGTAGACAAGGAGAAAGAATATTTTTAACAACTAATTAATGATCGCCATTGTACCTAGTTGATATAGAATTAATAGTACCATCATGAGTGAATATTAGTGACATTTATTAGGTTTTCGTATGAAAATAATGAAGTTATCTAAATGATAAACATTATCACAGTGCTCCGACATTTGTTAAATGTTCACTGAGTATCAATCATGCTTAAATTTCACAGTGAACATCTATTCCATCAAGAACATAAATAAATCTTGTTGACATGTATCAACCAATACGAAAGTAAAGTCATGGAGTTATTCTTCACGAGTACTTCTAACCATCTATCATTATACAAGTCTAACAATTATCAATAAATATACCGAAAGTATCATTTAGGGTGAAGTAAATATGTCATAATGAACATTTACGACTGAACAGTTGTAACTACTGAATAATCACCACTGTCATGTTTATCTAATTCATTTCTGTAAATCGAATTCTGTCTAGCAATTCTAAAACTTCTAATCAGTTTAAGTGACTCAACTTAAAATGCACCATACTGATATATAAACTAATGGTTGAATATAATGGATTTGAATCTCTGAAGTTAGGTTTTATGTTTGATCTTTAACATTAGATCATCATTTGAACATCTAGATAGACACTAATCAGTGATCAGTCAATTATAATATCCTATAATGAGCTGAAAACATCACTTCTAGTTAATTTAAAACATGCTTATTGAAATTTCAACGGTTAAGATCATGAGTCAGTTGAAACTAGACCACCATGGAAAACCTGGATGAACCAGACGGCCGTTTCGTCCTATTGTGGAACTCCTCAGCAGCGCGCATCCATGACCTCGCCTGCTAAGAGATTCAAACCCACGACCTCTTGGTTTCGCGCGCGAGCACTTAACCACTAGATCACTGAGCCGGCTGGCATCCACTGACTCATGATCTTAACCGTTAGGATGTGCATAAAAATATACCAATAATTGTCATGTTAAGTCTAATGGTGCCCTTGAACTTTAAATGGACATTTCCTATTGGTCAATATTTAGTTCACTTGTCAAATATTGTACAAATGTTGTTTTCTATTTTATGGTACGATGTGGTTTGTTTGATTGGTATATAAACAGAGTGTGTCTGAAATATGATTCATATCTCAGAGGCTGAGACTTGCGTTCTGGAATCAACTGGCTGGGCTAGTCAGGGAAGCGGGACCAATCGAGACTCTAGGCCGTTCTTACGAGTTTTCCGTGTCACTAAATCGATCGACAAAAACGCTGCTATCTTAATCTGCAGCCATAAGTAACAACATTAACTACTTAAATTACTATAATATCCACAAAACCCATCTGATACTTATTGGACTTAATCACTTACAGCTACTCTTAAATATACAAATAAATAGGATGATAGTAATGATTGAATGATTGAATTCTTACATATTACATAACAATAAACAATTTAAAGATATAATATACTGAAAATTTATTATTTGATCAGTCATTGTTTATCTCGGGATGGTGGAGAAGATTTGTAGCTCAGGTGGATGATTTTGGTAGAGTTTTGTTCTCTGAGCTGGATGGTTTAGTCGTGAAGCTTTCATTGTCCTTCTGAACGAACACTTCACTTCTATCTGAAATTTGTGCTGATGATGTCGTTCAGAAGAACGATGAAAGCTCCACGACCAAACCATCCATCTCAGAGAACAAAACTCCACCAAAATTGTTTATTTCTTTAATTACATAATCATAATGTATATTTGTAATCAGATATTTAACTTTTGTTATTTTACATAATATTTATCATTACAATAATCATAATGCGGTATTTTTTAAAATCTAACATAAAAGTCTACACGTTAATACTTCATTAATTACACCATTGCTTCTCTTCTTCTTTCTTGTATACTCTTATGCGGATTTTATTCAACGTCATATCAAGTAGCTTAGATGTATCACTTCAGTTTATTATGTAAATGAGTAACTTAGTCAATAGTATTATCTTTATTGAAATAAGTAATCGATTCTATCAGGGGAAAGTTATTTAGTTGATGATAGAAACATTAGATTGTAGATTAGAAAAAGAAAGGGGGGGAATATTATCTATTCATTGATTAGGTGAATATGTCTATAATTTTTTTATTTATTTGTTAAGTATCTAATCCCTGGTAGAAGCACGGAATATTGTAGTCAATGGTAAATTTCACATTTTGGCAAACAGAAGAATATTAGTATGAACTAGGTTGATATAATGGGAGGATGAAAATATTTTTCATCTTTCCTTATTATACTACTACAATGTACTTAGTATTGAGATTTTATTAATACTAGACTGGATATTGGATTGATACGATATACGTTGACTAGACCATATTATACCAGATAAACAATTCATGATGTATATTATACTGGGTAATAACTTGATGGAATACAATCACTTGCAATAACGCTTAATGAATCCACAATAAAAATGTATGATAGAGATAAAAATCACATATATTTCATAGTCTGAGGGCTAATTACCTATTTGTCCACACCAATTGCTTAATTATATTTACTTTCACTAACCATACATTATAAAAATCATTGAAAT